GAGGAGGAGGAGGAGGAGGAGGAGGTCAGTTTCATTTCCTCCCAAATTCACAGTATGAACGTGTAAGGTCATCACTGGGAGATACATCGTCTGAGAAGGACCACCCTTCAGGCTTACCGGAAGGCGCAGGGCTTGGCTCTTGGTCACAGGCTAAATATATGGTTGAAAGTTTTATTAAAAACCAAGACAGAGTAAGACACACCCACACCCTGATGACTCATGAAGGCTGAGCAGAACTGCATTTAAGCTGACCGAGATGGAAGCAGGGACAGTGGAGAGGTTTTCTGGTCACCAGTTAGTGGGGGCTCCTTTCAAAAACGGAAGACAGGGGTGTTATTCCAAGCAATATTGGGCAGTTTCGGTCTTATTCAAAATAAGAATACAATGTCAGAAATCTTCAGAAAAAGAAATGCAAAAAAAAAAAAAAAAAAAAAAAACAACCAAAAAAACCAAAAACCCAACACCCTCACTGGGGTTCAACAAAGATTCTCTTTATAAAGCAGAAATCAACAACTCAAAGGGGTACCACACGCGGTGCACAAAATCGCAGTGAGCAAGGACCCAGCAGAAGGAACCAGCAGGGTCACATGCACTGGACTGGTGACGAAGGTCATTGTCCTGTCAGGTTGTCAGCTGGAGATGACAAGAACCTAAAAAATGGATTTGTTTTCCTTTTTGTTTTTCCCACGGTCATGCATCCACATATACTCGAGTCTTGGATGAGCAAGGTCACGGCGACTTGAGGAGTTCTAAGGAATGGATGACTGTTTAGCCCTGTTTGTTTGGTGGGGAAACAAAAACATCAGGCAGACACAACACTCAGGTGAAGGAACACAGTCAGTACAAACCCAGTAAGGCATCGCTTTGGGAAGGACAGCACCGAACAGGCCAGGCGTGCGCCGCCGGCCGAGGGTAGGGCTGGGCTGGGCATCCGGGAGGGGGTGGCCGCGCCCCTCCCACTGAGCTGAGCTGCGCTGGTCGTGAGGAAAAGTGCAAGTCTTCTGCGAGGTGTCCTCACCGCCCACCCTGAGTTGGGGCTGGGGTGCCCGAAGAGTGACTTCGACCCTGGAGGAGTGCAGGAAAGGCAAGGTTCTGGACTCCCCAGGAGGAGAGGAGGACCCCATAGTCCTCAGCCACCTACAAGGACATGAGCTGCCTGCCCCGGCCGGAGGAGGCGAGTGTGTAGAACAGTGAAGATGGACAACTCAAAGCCAAAACAGAGCAGGCCCAACCAAACCAAAACTCAAGTCCTGCAGCTCTAACCCTCACCAAAGGATCGATTCTCAGCAAGCGCGGAAGGAGAAACATCTTTAAAAGCCAATGAGCCCGGAAGGGAGACACACACTCAACCTCACATCGCCAAGGGCAACCATTCTCCAGGGTAGAACGCTTCGCAATATACACAGTGTTTGCAGAGAAATAAAATACAAAGCGACCTGATTCAAGGAGACAATAATAAAGGGGACAGACACATGCGGTTCTGCACAGACAGCCACGCCAGCGCGCTCGCTCACATTCTGACTCAGGCATGCCCCCGAGAGGCTCACCCAGGGCTGGGGGCCCGCAATAGGGGCCGAAGGAGAACTGACAAGACACCCCTCGGGGAAGGAGAGCGCCGTGTAAGAAACAGAAAAGCAAGGTACGTTTTCATCTCAGACTGCCCGGCCGGAGCTCTGCAGCACAGGGAGGGTGGCCACAACCAGCGCCCTGCTAGCACCAGGTCTGTGCCGGGCCAGGGGAGGTCGGGCGGCTCAGCGCTGTCAGCAGCACCCACTCCGGTCCTGTCTCTTCTGTCCCTGGGCAGCTCCGGGCAGGATGGCGTCTGCTTTGAGAGCTTCCAGTGCGTTCTCTGTCAGTGATTTTCATCTTCAACGGCAACGATCCTTTCCCGAGAAGTATGTTCCGCGTGTCTGTGGAGGTCACAGCAACAAGGCCAAACGAGGAGGGAGGTCCGACAGGAGACAGTGCAGTCGTCACTGTGGGAGCAGGCCGGCCCCGGAGGGCGGCAGCTGATGAGGGGCGGAGGACGCGGTGCTTCTGCGGCTCACAGGCTGCACGCAGCCGGCTGGCTCAGGAAGTCGTCGATGCAGAGGGCGCGATGGACCGGGTGAGGAGCGGAGGTGGCGGGCAGGCCCCAGGGCCGGACCTCTGTCACAGAGTGGACTCCAGGGAGGAGTCCAGGATGTCGTCGTGGTGGCTGTTGCTGTTGGAGTCGCTGTCGTAGCTCTGCGGGCTGGAGTAGTTGGCAGCCTCCTGCAGCCGCATCAGCATGTTCATCTGGGGGAAGAGCAGAGAGCGGTGGGGTAAAGGCAGCAGCCTGGGCACAGGCCAACGGCTCCGGCTCCGGGAGACTGGGGCACGGAGCTGGGGACAGCTCCCTAGAATGCAAGGCCCTGCCGCTCCTCCCTCTGGCTGCATGACCTTGGGGAGAGGCTTAACCTTTGTGCCTAATCCTTTACTGGTCCATTGTAAGTCAACAGTAGTACCCGCCCTATGATGTTCCAGTGCAGACTGGGTTAATACATATGCAGTATTGAAAAAAGAACAAAAAGTCCTTAGTAAGTATGAAATGTATTTTTTTCCCCTGGGGAGGGGAACACCTTCCCTGGACATTAGCCTTCTGCTGGGTATAGATGTCATCCTAGTAGCAACCAACATAGGTACTGTCATCAATAACGAGGGACGCACACCCAGCCCTTAAGAAGCAGGAAGTCCCTCGGGGCACGTGGCTCTGACCCTGGACTAGCTGGGAGCTGCTGATTCTGGGAAGTGGTGGAGACGCCAGCTACAGGCAGAAAGCAGGTGTCCGGTGACGACCCGAGAGGCCTACTAAGGCATTCCAGCCTGCAGGCCCTCCTATGCAGACGGGAGGACAGCAGTGCATGTCCAGCAGGGCTGACGGGGTGTGGACGGGCAACGTGTGCCTCAGGTCTTTACGGATGGGCTAGCTTTGCACACCTGCCTGGCACATTTTCTTCATCTAACTCGAAGGAGGCACTTAGAAACCAAACTCTGCTGTCTTCCCACAGCTGCATCCTACTGGCCAGTGGTTTAGGGATGGAGCGGGAACTAAAAACAATGTTTAATTTACACAGAACTATGAATTGTATGTTTTCTATTTCACATAGCAAAGAAGATAGGAGACGGGGCCACCCTGGGCTAAGGTATGAAATCCCACTGCCCCTCAGACACTATGCAGTGCTTCCCACAGAAGGCAGGCCAGAGGACATGAGCGGTGTCCACCTGCAGAGCCACGGAGAGGAGGAGGTGACTGTGAAGTACCACAGACAAGCCTAGGCAGCTGGGATCGGCTATTCACTCGTCTGGATGCACCACAGCTGCAGTACGGGACTGGAGCCAAGGGCAGCCCTCGTGGAGGATGCAGGCTCGGGAGGGAGTGCACCACGAGACAGTTATCGGGGTCCTGGGCAGAGGGTGTGGGCCGTGGGCGAAACACCCAACACCTACCTGGACAAGTGAGGGAGGCTGCATTGCCCCAGCCCACTTCTGGGGACCTGGATTTGGAAAAGAAATTCTGTGAAAAGCCTCTCACCTGAGTGACTTCTCAGCTCAGTGAGTGAAACTAAAACTGTCTCAGGAAGTTGCTCTTTCTTCAACATGTTCTAAAGCTGCTTCCAATGTACATCCAAAAGATGAGCACCAAATGACTCTGCGGCTACATTACAGGCGCCATCACAGTGTCCTTCTTTTTCCATGAAATCACTATGTGGATGCTACAAGCTGGTTGTGTTAATGACACTAACATGACATCCTTCAGACAGACAGTTCAGGTTTCAATCTTCCACAGAACCCAGCTACCTCTCCCACACAACACAGATCACCTATTATGATGAAGTTTTCATCTAGCAAACCAATTGGCCGGCAGGGACAGCACAGTAAACCGGTTGTCTGTTAATCCTGTGGAGTCTCTGATGACTACTTTCATCAGGGAATGGGAATGTAAATCATATTCTCTGTTGTACTTTTCTTTTTGCCATTGGTGCCAAAGAAGCTCGGGGCCAGATTTCAGGTAGGATAACAGCTACTTAACCGTGGGAGGTCTGGGTGTCTTTGCTGCTTCTTTACTTTATGGGGCTTCAGACTGGGTAGGGTAATTGGGTGGTAGGACTAGGTATGGGGCTTAGATTTGTAGACAATGACAGCACTGATTAGACGAGTGACCAGCCCTGACCAGGGGCCACACCTCCTCCAGTTTGTGTGCTGTCTCACTAGGCTTGGGCTCCTGGTCCTCCGCATGCTCTTCCTCTGTTCTCTTTTCAGTAGGACAGATAGGAGGACCAGGACAGCACGTGGTAATGGTGGCATCTCAACTCAATGGGCAAATAGACAAAACAGGTATAGGGACATTTATATGGTGCGGGGAATCAAACTCAACCTTTGACCTTATACCAGAAAAAATTTCAGGCAGGGCAAAGGCTTTGGTGAAAAACTAAAACCATGGGAGAAAATACTGGCACACGCGTCTCTAGTCTTGGGGGTGCTCAGCCTTCTGAGGCCAAGCCGGGCTTAGTGCCCAGGTCCTTCCAGCACGCCCTGGTCCCACCTGGGCCAGTGCATGGGTAGAGCTGCTTGAGAGCTTCAGACTCACCAGCGGGTCTCCTTCAGCGTCGCTGGGGGGCACTTGTTTGCTGGCGGAGCCCTCCCGTGGCAGGGCATAGCCATCGAAACCAACATCCTCAGGCCGAAGCTGCAGCAGTGGGGGCCACTCATGCTGCTGGGGGCTGGCCACCCAGGGGTATGTGTCCATCACCCACTTGGCCGGATCCTCCCAGGGCGCACGCCGTCCGTACAGCTGAAAGCAGGCAAGGAGGGAAGGACTAAGACTTGGGCTGAGAACTCTTATGCAGCCCCAGTGTTTCGCTTCCTGCACAAACTTCCCAGACTCAGCATGAGCTCCTTCTGGAAGCCCAACCTAAGGAAGTCACCCAGCATGCAGACAGCATGAGGTACTAGGGCCGCAGGATGCAGGGGTTGAAGCAGGCGGGGCTGCTGTGGGACTCACTGTGCAGCTCTTAACTGCTGGGCCTTCCTTGTCTGATTTGAAACACTGGCTTCTGGGAGAAAAACAGCCAGATTTGAAGCATGCCAATTTCTGTGGTGTAAATACTCCCACCATGGTCAGCTTAAACCAGGATGCCCTTCTCCCTGTCACATGACTTCAAAACTGCCCCAAATAACTACTTTGATTTTAAAGCAGTGCACTGCCTTATCAGTTAGTTTTACGAGACCAACATACTATGCCTCCGAGTTCCTTTCTTAAGTCTGAAGATCTAAAGATACAATGATCTCAGTGACTATTACTAGCAATTTTGAGAAACCAGGACAGTCTTTGAAGAACAAAACTCCAAGGCTCCATCTCCAGGCAGCTGGGTGTGGTCCGTGTACCTTACAGTTTGTGGGGCCCAGGGGGTCCTAGGCAGTGTGTCATACTGCCTTGTTAATCACTGTGTGGCTTGGAAAGGTGCATCCCTGTTGTATCTATGTCTTGTGGGTGGGGGCTCAGGCCCAGGGAAGAGGAAGACGGAAGAGGAAGCCCAGTCTGCCCACTACGTGTCACTGTATGCACACAGATGAGGGGGGCAGTGCTCACTGTCCCTCTGTCTGATCTTAGACACCCCCACTAGGGGGCCACAGGCACAGAGATAGAAAGCTCCTGCACACACAGGCTGCACGGTCTCCTGCTGGGGTGATCCTCCACACCTCTGGGAATCCTACAGCAAGAGGCTGGAAATGGAGCAGACCACAGCCCGGGACTGACAAAACCACAGGAGGGCCAGTTGTGAAGCGCAGTGCACAGCTGAATTCAAACCAGCAACCAGCTTCCTTGGTTGGGCCTTGATCTCCCCACCACTGAGCGACTGCTCTTTGAGCTACTGTGACAAGAGTCATGTGACTCAGCAGACCCAAAGCGTGATTACACCATCCCCAGATGTCAGCCTGGCTGCCGCCTGGCTGGGCTGCTGTTTCCTGAAGCACCCACTATCTGAGCCTCCCCAGGTCTGCGTGCGATTTGTCTCAGATGCCACCCACCCTGTTCCATCTCAGATAGGCCCACCTGTCAGTGGTTGCCTGTTCCCCAAGACACCCAGAGCCTTCTGTGAGCACCTCCCTGTCCCACAGTCTGTCCCCACAGTCTGTCCCCACAGCTTCTGTGACCTGGGTAGATGGTGAGGCCAGGGCTAAGGATGCAGCCTGGCACCCTAAAGGCCACTGACAATGTGAGCAGGAAGTGCTCATGGGAAGTGGCGTGTGCATACACCTGTGTGTCAGGATGGAAAAGAACAGGATGTTCTTGGGCATATTTATCGCGGACGGAAGCTGCTTTAGACCAAAAGCGTTCTGTGCTTAGGAGCTTCTCCCTCCATGGTCTTCCCCACGGGTCTCGGCTGCCTTTCCCAAGTGTGGCTTCACTTGCCCAGGTTGAACCACCCTCCTTGCAGACAGCTCCCACTTTTGTCTCCACCCTTGGCTGCAGGAAAAGCCGAAGGCTGCAGCATCCCTGGGTCACAGGTCAGCAAGTCTCCAGAGACTCCAGCCCTGCTGCTCTCATGCTTTTGCCCTTTATCTCTGACCCCAGCCAGCCCCCAGCGTTCTGAGGGACTTGGGGGCTTCATAGAAACCAGACAGAAAAAAACATCTCCTGGTCCAACTTTCCATGTACAGGTGAGGAAGCTTCAGCTTGGAGACTGGAGACTGCCAGGGCCTTGGGGCAGTCTGGGAACTGACAGATGGCCACCTCACCCTTCCACAGCCCATCCGGGCACCTGGTCATAAGAGCTGCTCTGCAGACTTCAGACACTTTGGTGAGTGTTTCCAATGACAACTCCAAAGGGGAACAGGACTGGGGACTGAGTCATAAGACAAATGCATGTAAGGTGAAGTGAACATCATCTTTAAGAACAGAAAATATTTTTACAAGCTCCCTGCTGTCTCCTGGACGTGAGTTAAATTCAGGTGATGAATGGCTGAGTCAGTACCGTTGGAGCAAAGGACATCACTCCACTGTAGAAGCCTGAGGGCAGCAGCACAGACAGACAGCTGGATGGACAGACAGACAGGCAGGCAGACAGGCAGACAGACATTCACTTACTTACTTTCCTGGGGCAGGGAAAGAACTTGGCCTTCATATTGGATGAGGAAAAGCAAGCAGGAAAGCTGAGGCCAAGACATGGGAAGTTAAATCCCAGGCCTCTGTGACCCTATGATTCTATGAGCTGCATGGGCTCCTAGAATCACAAGGTGGCATCAAAGTCACATTCAGGAAGCCCTACACAAACACAAATACACACACACACACCCTTTCATCAGGAAAGACACTAGAGAGCTACCATGTATCCAACAGGCGGAGGTGATGCCGCCTCTCCTCCAGGCATGTCCACACCTGTGGATAGCTCCTGAGAGCTTTTTTTTTTTTTAATTTTATTTATTTATTTATTTATTTATTTATTTATTTATTTGTGTGTGTGTGGCCAGCTCAGCCCACCAGTGGGTGGGGCTGGCTGGCATGTGGAGCTGGTGGATTGAACTGTGGTCCCTGTGCTTTGCTAAGCTTGTTCCAAGTAGGTGCTTTAGACCACTGAGCCATCCCACCAGCCCCCCTGAGAGCTTTGGTGAGGCTCTCGCCAAAGCAGGGAAGGCTTCCTATGTGTACACCAAGTCACAGCACCGTGGGCAGCCCTGGCTCCAGCTCATGCACCAGGCAGGACCCTAGTGAGTAACAGTAAGCTTCCCTTCTCCTCCAGAGGCCTAGGGCACAAGGAAGCAATGGTTTTCTCTCTCACACTGAGTGGATGCGACTCAGGAGGAGGCAGCAACTCTGTTCCCCAGCTATCCCCAAGTCCCTGCTTGTGGGCTCACTTGCCCTTGTGGAGAAAGACCCCTGCTCCTCTAGGTTATCTCCCAGTGTCAGCCTCCCCTTCCCTTGCCCAAAAACCTTCCTTTCAGTTCAGGTCCAAAGGATATACCAGACCCCACGCTTCTTTCAGACGACTCTGAGGTCACTCCCCTCTCTTGCCAGAAAATATGTTTGGGGTAAAGAGGATACAAGCGACAGGACTTGGAAGGAATTGGGAATAGAAGTACATGGGGGACCTGTCCTGCCTGCAATGCTCCCTGCTCCTCAGGGATCCCAGAAGTGCCAGGCATACACATCTCACAGTCCCTAGGACTCAGAGACAGAGGAAAGGCTGGGCACAGTGGCACACTCCAGGAGTACAAGCGCTGAGGCTGGGGCAGGAGGATTTTGAGTTGAAGCCCAGCATGGGGAGTTTAATGAGATCCATTTAAAACAGAAGACAGCAGAGTGGTGAACAGCAGAGACAGCTTCTCTGAGATTTGGTGCCCAGATGCTGGCATATAACAGCATGAGGAAGACAAGGAGGGAAGTGGGTCCCTGGCACCCAGCAAAGACCTAAGGAAGAATTAAAGCCCACAAAGAGTGAAGAGAGGCCTCAATGCAGGAGGTGGTAAGCAGTGCTTTCTCCTTGAGCTCTGACTCATGACATGGGAGGGGCAGCTCGAACCTGTATATGTATGGTAACTACTGGCGACCACAGAGGCCTCCATAGATAGCCGCACCAGGGAAGCAGAGCAGTGGAAACAATGGGCTGCAGTGCCTGTGAGTTATTCAGATGTCCCCTAGCAGAAGGTGAGTGGCTGGTTATGATCTTGGAGAAGTAACAACTGGGCTCAGAACTCCGAACAACTTCGGGTTGGCTCCATCTAGCAGATCCCTGTGTCAAGGTGCGGGGGAACCGGATTCAAGTTGGCAGAAGGTCGAAGAACTGAGCTCGAGCCAGCAAAAGGCACATGGAGTGTCATGGGATGAACAAGTGAGGTTCCAGCCTCACAGCCAGAGACTGGCTGGAACTTCAGTGAACGAAGGTGCAGGCTTGCCGGGATGCTCAGCGCCCCTGGCGTAAATCCACAATGCTTGCTGGAGTTAATCGGCTTGGCACTGGGCTTTGTTGGCCCACTCTGTCTACCAGTGACAGCAGAGACACAACTTGGGAGTAGATATTTTTGTCTTCGTTTTTTCTTGATTATGAGTACGAGCAGTATTTTTTGTGTGGTGGTCATTGTCCTATTCTGTTGTTTTCGTCTCTTCCTTCTTTCTTTCCCTCCTGTCTTCTTCACCACTTTCCTAAAGTTTAAGTAATTTTCCTTTGCTCTCCAGCCTCCCTTCTAATCTTGTCCTTTTCTGCTATTTCTCCAACCCCTCCCCTTTTTTGTATTTAGTACAGGGTCTTCAGGGTCTCATTACACAGATCAGACTCAGAGTCCTGTTTTCAGCCTCCAAAGCACTGGGATTACAGGCACGCACCACCATGCCCGGTCTCATTCGCTATCTCAGCACGCCCCGGAGTCAGGGCTGCACAGCATACTGGGGATCAAACCTTGGTCCCTCCGTCTGCCTAAGCAGGTGGTTTAATCTGCTGAGCTATCTGGCCAGCCCTCCAACCCTTTCTCAAGTTTCTCTCCTGAGGTTCGTCATATCGAGGACATATTTACTATATCAACTTTCTGGTTTGTGCTAGATTTTGTTATGTAGCCACAAGTCTAGTTTATAGGGACAAAAGTGCCAAATTAATGCTTACCTAAATTTATCATTTTCTAGGCTGTGTTCGATGCTACTGTTGTTGCTGACTGTACTACTTTAGCCAAGTGGAGATCATTCTTTTAATCAGTTGCTGGTACCAGTATGCCCAAATTGACATTGCCTGAGGGTTATAAATAATACTATAGGCAAGTGCCAAGAAGCCAGGGGCTAGGCCACACAGGCAGCAGCATGTG